CTCTACTCTGAGGATGAGCTTCCTGCTGAGTTCAAACTTTACATTCCTGTCCAGAACAAGGCAAAGGTGAGCAAGTGGGGGATGGATGGGAAGACCTGTTCCATGAAGAACGGCAAAATAGTCACACAACTCTCAGGCAGCTGTAAATTGGAGACGTGTATTTGCATTTGGTGCTCTAAGCAGAGGTGTCTGAGGCCAAGAAATTGCCTCACTGGCTCTCTACTAGAGAGTTTTCCAGTGAGCAGGTTGGTGTCTTGCTTGTGCTCCCAGAAGAAATTCTGGAAGGCCCCCTCTGCCAGTGTTCAACCATTGCTCAATGCATGGATTCACTTAGAAGCATCTCCCCAGAGAAATGGTTGTCCAACCTCTGCTTGAACACTTCTGGTGGAAGAGAGACCACGCTTCTCTTAATTCCACTGTTGAGCTGCTCTTCTGTTAGAATGTTTTTCTAGCATTCAGGCTGGAACATTCAGCATTTGAAGGAGGCTTCTTAGTAAAGAAGCTGGCCTCTCAAAGCCTATGGGCACTGCTGCTGTTGGGAGAATGCATGGTGCAGGAGCCCAGCACGTTCCCCTTCAGAAGGTCACATTTCAAACTCCAGTTTCGTTGTGGTTGAGCGGCACGTCCCTAGCAAATCCCGTCTTGTGCTGCTAGGAATATATGCTACCCAAAGGGTTGTCTTGTTCTGTCCAGGTAAAAGTTTGATATATATGTATTGAATAACGTCTCTTTGCATATATCGCCCAATGCAGCAATGATGGCATGATGGGAAGCCCCCTGGCAGACACACTGAAGATGCTGATGGAAGAGTATTTTTTTTTTTAACTAGAAACAAAATGTAGGTGTGGATTTCCTAGAGTAACTATATTTAATAACAGTTGGTATCTGTAATGCTGGGACCAGACAAAACAAAGCATATCATTGTTCCATGTGAGAGATGGATCAGGCTCAACTTTGTAGTTGTGGATCACTCCTAGGGAGACCATGAATCGTGGAACTGATTTGGCCAGCAAGTGGGAGGCTTTGTTGAAGCAGTTCTGAGACCCTTGTGCCCTCACAGATGCCAGTGGTTTTCCTTCTTTGCTCTGTCTGTGTATGCCCTAAGTATGTGTGATCTACTCTTGTCCTGGAAGCTGCTATTAAATATTTGATTTTCTTTGTAAGGCTGTGCTTGGTTTGTCTTGGCCATTTGGGGCTGAAGTATCCTGCCCTGCCGGTGGGATGTAAAAGGACAGGTTAACAGCTTCCCTTTAGACCAGGGATAGGTGCAGAGGAAAGGAGCAGGATTCTTTTGACTGGGTCCACAAATTGAACTAAACCATAATAGTTGGGCTCATAGGTCATACTAAGTCATCATACATTTTGCTTCTATGTTTATGGGTCCCTGCTGAAAGTAACAGCAACGGGCATTTTGTTGATTGGAAAAACAAAGGTGGCCTTGCATCTTTGGTAACTTTGCAAGGAGGCCCAGTGGGCAGGATTCCTGCTAATCCATTGAGAGGAAAGACAGGCTGTGGGAAGTTTGGGCAAAGAGCGGACTTGCTCCTTCATAGGCTTGCTGAGCTCGTAAGGATGAGGACACCCTGAACAGCAGGATGGAGCTCTGGGAGGAGCCCTTCCTAGTCTGGAAGAGATTCCTTTGGTAAGGCATCTGTCTCCTGTTGACTAGTCAATTTTTCCAGCAGAAGTGAATGGCATTTGCAGACTGGTTTTCAGTGATATTGTATAGATGTTTTAAAGCTTTGTACCCCAGATTTTGCTCTTTCGTTAACAGAGAATCATCAAAGATAGCTTGGCCTTTGCTGGAGGCAGGCAAGCTGTTGTGTGACAAGGGACAGACATGGTCAATTTTCACTCTGGTCAGTGAGGAACTTTTGGTTTGCAGCAAGAGCAGGACTTGGATGAGGTAGAATTTCACACATTGCAATAAAGCATAGTTGACCAAACATGATGTTGACTGACCATGATTACCTTGGTTTAGTGACGCTGGTTGATTCATATGTTGCAACCTACTTATTGATGGTGGCTTACAAACCAGAATAGCTGGGCTCACACAACACGCAAACCCCAAGGCCAAATTCTGCTGCAGCTTGTCCATGGTGAGGTAAGGATCGTAGTGGCACCGGAGCTGGGTGTGCAATGGATGGCTCTTACATGCAGAACAGCAAAGCCACTGATCCTTGCAAGAGACTCCGGGAAGCTGTTAGTAATGCAGAAGGTAGAGGCTTCTCTTCCACTTCTGCCTGAGCCGCCACCACTCTGCACTGAGCTCATGGATCCCACCACTGCGCCCTGGGGGATGAGGGGATGAGGCTAGGCAGAGCTCTTCAGCACAGGTTTTAGAATGGGAGGAAGTCCAGCATCATGAGACTTGCAAGATTTAGTTACTGTGCCCAATCTCAGCTGAAGTGGTTTTAGCCTTCCTGTGGAGTTGATTTCCTGGTCTGGTCTACCTCATGGGGCTGACATGCTCTGGCCATCAAGCTGCACCTGCCCTCCAAGATCTCTGCTGCAGTCGGTCAGTCACAGGGAAGTTCAGCAGGCTGCTACCCCACTTTGGGCCATTGTCCACCCGTGAGTGGGTCAGGTGCTGGCCAGCAAATGAGCTGGAGGGCCACAAGTGTAAGATGCACATTTGCCAGCCATAAATTACAGATGAGCAAGTTGCTGGGAGTAGTCAGATTCAGGTGAGCTCTGGGTGCCTCTCCTGAAGGGCTGCACGTCTTCCATCCTTGCGTGTTCCTCTGCCAGAGGAGAAAATAGAAGAAGTTACCTCTGCAAATAGGGCAGGAAACAAGCCACCAGAGGATACCAAGCGGCATTTTTCCAGGGATGGGGGAATACAGTTTGAAAGCCAAAATCAAATCACATGATGGCTTAGCGTGTTTTGGAGCCTCCCTTCCTCTGGGCTAAAGTGCAGCCACTGGTTCTGTCACTTTATCTGAGGAGACAATTAACAGAACATACTGCTTTGAGCATTTTATTCTTAGGTCCTTTTTCTGTGTGTGTGTGTGTGTGTGTGTGTTACATTAAAAAGATACATTAGATGGCAACGGTTTGATGCCACGGCAGGGTATAATTTAGGACAAAGTACTGAAAGGGCTGCTGTCTAAATGCAATGGCAGGTCACCAAAATAGAACCACGACACATAGAATCATGTGTCGGTTGTGGGCAAAGGAGGGGGCTTGATTGATGGATGTCTGAAATTCTGCTCCCACTTCCTCAACAATTTTTTTTGCTATAAATGGAAGGTGAACATTGTGAAGGTGTCATGAGAACCTTGGATATTTTTTCCTGCAAAAGATTAATGCAGTTGCCTTTCTGGGAGGGAGAGAGGGTGTGTGTGTGTAAATAATTAATGCACTTACTGCTGTTCCTTTTGGGAAGAGGATTGGCAGTGGAGTTTCAGAGTTCTTCAAGGGAGGGGATGAACATCTGAGGCACATCCCTGCTGGTGAACAAAGTGGCCACCAGGTGATGCTCTTCTAGTATGTACTTTGAGGCCTGTCCAAGTCAGACCATTGCTGCTGGTGTATTCTTCTCTTGAGTCTCCCACTTCTACATTGTGGAGCAGGGCTACACTGCCTGCTTGGCATCTTCCCCCTCCTGAGTGCTGGACAGGCTTCAGCATCTCTTACTGGCCCCTGAGACTTCAGATGGCAAGAGCCCTGCCCACTGGTTAAGGGAGAGGCCTGGAGAAAACACGTGGGGGTGATTCTCCACTCCTGAGCTGCCTCATCAGCTTCCCTGCTTGGTTGGGAACGGTTCAGGGTGCAAGGTGGAAACAGCCACCAGCCTTTTGGAGAGGTATGTGTCAGCTGGGGGAAAGCAGCTGCAGAGCCCAAGTGCAGTCGTGGAAAAGCTGCTTGGTGATGGAGCTATAAGCAGATTTCTGAAAACAGCTCAGGCTAGAATTATGCAGTGGCTGTCTTGGCACCACATGGCTATACGCTGAAGCCAGTAGGTGTTGCTGTGATAGGCTCCTGTATATTGAAGCAGCCTCCTTTACAGGTCAGTTCCACTGGAAGGGGGCATTGGATGAACTAAATAGGTTTCTTAAGATGGTGTGGGGAGTGAGGAATTGCAATACTGAGTTTCAGAATTCTTGTGCAGCAGTTTTTTCAAACTCTAGAAAAGAGGCTGGTGTGGGTCTTCCGGGCTGTGTGGCCGTGTTCTGGAAGTTTTGTTTCCTAACGTTTCGCCAGCACCTGTGACCCACTG